AACATAGAAAAGAGTAAGGTGATGAGGGTATCAAATGATTTAGATAAAGAAAAATTGGATATCAAATTGGGGAGGAGGAGTATGGAAGAAGTGAATGTTTTCAGATATGTACTTGGGAGTTGATGTGTCGGCGGATGGATTTATGAAGGATGAGGTTAATCATAGAAATGATGAGGGAAAAAAGGTGAGTGGTGCGTTGAGGTATATGTGGAGTCAAAAAACGTTATCTATGGAGGCAAAGAAGGGAATGTATGAAAGTATAGTAGTACCAACACTCTTATATGGATGTGAAGCTTGGGTGGTAAATGCAGCAGCGAGGAGACGGTTGGAGGCAGTGGAGATGTCCTGTCTAAGGGCAATGTGTGGTGTAAATATTATGCAGAAAATTCGGAGTGTGGAAATTAGGAGAAGGTGTGGAGTTAATAAAAGCATTAGTCAGAGGGCAGAAGAGGGGTTGTTGAGGTGGTTTGGTCATTTAGAGAGAATGGATCAAAGTAGAATGACATGGAAAGCATATAAATCTATAGGGGAAGGAAGGAGGGGTAGGGGTCGTCCTCGAAAGGGTTGGAAAGAGGGGGTAAAGGAGGTTTTGTGGGCGAGGGGCTTGGACTTCCAGCAAGCGTGCATGAGCGTGTTAGATAGGAGTGAATGGAGGCGAATGATACTTGGACCTGACGATCTGTTGGAGTGTGAGCAGGGTAATATTTAGTGAAGGGATTCAGGGAAACCGGTTATGTTCATATAGTCGGACTTGAGTCCTGGAAATGGGAAGTACAATGCCTGCACTTTAAAGGAGGGGTTTGGGATATTGGCAGTTTGGAGGGATATGTTGTGTATCTTTATACGTATATGCTTCTAAGCTGTTGTATTCTGAGCACCTCTGCAAAAGCAGTGATAATGTGTGAGTGTGGTGAAAGTGTTGAATGATGATGGAAGTATTTTCTTTTTGGGGATTTTCTTTCTTTTTTGGGTCACCCTGCCTCGGTGGGAGACGGCCGACTTGTTGAAAAAAAAAAAAAAAAATATGAGATGTTTTTCCAGTCTTGTGTCAGTGTCAGAAAGAATTACGTTTTCTCTAGTTCAACACCAAAGAAAATGTGTACACAATAGTACAGTGGTCCCTCGCTTTTCGTAGTTCTAGGCAATCATAGATTTCGGAAATCATAGGGGTATTTTCGTATAAACATGGGCTCGCTTTTCATAGTTTGACTCGCGAGTCGTAGTTCGTCCGGGACACGTACCCATGGCGTCAGCCTGGGCGGCAGCCAGTCTGGCATTGTTTACCAGTGAGCGAAGGTCCCCTCACGTGCTCCAGCGAAACATTTCATAATATTCCATTTATTTTAGTGGTTGCAAGTACTAAATAAGCTACCATGGCTCCAAAGAAAGCTCCTAGTGCCAAGCCTGTGGTAAAGAAGGTGAGAAATACGATTGAATTTAAGAAAAACATCATTGAACAATATGAAAGTGGTACAAGTGCGGCCGAACTGGCCAGGATGTATAAGAAACCCTACACAACCATATGTTCCATAGTGGCCAAGAAAAAGGAAATCAAGGATGCTGTTGAGACTCTATGACCGCGGGTTCAATCCCGGCCGGGGGTATGGTTTAAGGATGCTGTTGTTGCAAAGGGGGTAACTATGCTGACAAAAATGAGATCATCAGTACTCGAAGAGGTTGAGAAGTTATTATTGTTGTGGATAAATGAGAAACAATTAGCAGGAGATACTCTTATGACTTCGATTATTTGTGAAAAGGCTAGGCAGTTGCACAACGATCTGGTAAAGAAATTGCCTGAAAATAGTGATTATGTGAATGAATTTAAGGCCAGCAAAGGTTGGTTTGAGAGATTTAAGAACCGTACTGGCATACACAGTGTGGTAAGGCATGGTGAGGCTACCAGTTCGGACCACAAGGCAGCTGAAAAATATGTGCATGAATTCAAGGAGTACATAGAGGCTGAAGGACTGAAACCTGAACAAGTGTTCAATTGTGACGAAACAGGCCTCTTTTGGAAGAAAATGCCATAGAGGACCTTCATTACACAGGAGGAAAAAGCAATGCCAGGACACAAGCCTATGAAAGACAGGCTGACGCTAATGTTCTGTGCTAATGCTAGTGGGGATTTCAAAGTGAAGCGACTACTAGTGTACCATTCTGAAAATCCCAGTGTGTTCAGGAAAAACAATGTTATGAAAAGTAAATTGTGTGTGTTTTGGAAATCTAATAGTAAGGCATGGGTCATGAGGGAAATTTTCGTCGAGTGGTTCAATGAAGTGTTTGGCCCTAGTGTGAAGAATTACCTCCTGGAAAAGAAATTGGATCTCAAGTGCCTGCAAGTAATGGACAATGCACCTGCTCATCCTCCAAACTTGGATGACCTAATTTTCGAGGAGTCTGGGTTCATCACAGTAAAGTTCTTGCCCCCGAATACCACTCCTCTCCTCCAGCCCATGGACCAGCAGGTCATTGCAAACTTTAAAAAACTCTATACCAAAGCAATGTTTCACAGGTGCTTGACTTTGACCACAGACACTCACTTGACCCTAAGGGAATTTTGGAGAGAACACTTCAGCATCCTCCACTGCATAACCCTTATAGGTATGGCTTGGGAGGGATTGACTACTAGGACTTGGAACACTGCCTGGAGAAAATTGTGGCCAGATTGTGTCGACAAGAGGGATTTTGAAGGGTTTGGGACTGACCCTGATGAGCCTATGTCTGTTGTAAAATCAATTGTGGCACTGGGGAATTCCATGGGGTTGGATGTGAGTTTGGAGGATGTGGAAGAATTGGTGGAAGACCACAACGAAGAGCTCACCACTGAGGAGCTGCAAGAGCTTCAGCAGGAACAGCAACAGATGACAGCTCAGAGGAGGAGGAAGAGAGATGGAAGATGGTGCCTTCTTCAGAAATTAAAGAGGTTTTTGCTATGTGGGGTAAGGTGGAAAGATTTATGGAGAAACATCACTTTACAAGGTTGTTGCAAGCCATATTGGCAACATGTACAGTGACAAAGTCTTGGGCCATTTTAGGGAAGTTCTAAAGAGAAACCAGAAACAGAGCTCTCTGGACAGTTATTTTGCGAGACAGGACTCCAGTGACTCTCAAGGTGGTCCTAGTGGCATTAAGAAACAGAGAAGAGAAGCAATCCCAGAAAAGCAATTGGTACCTGAGGTGTTGCTGGAAGGGGATTCCCCTTCCAAACTATAAACAATCCACTCTCTCCTCCTCCAGTCTCCCATACACTAAGAAGAATCTCCAATAAAGGTAAGTGTTATGCTGTTAATGTTTCATTCATCATTTCCCATTGTATTGTTTATGTGCTACATGTATATTTTACGTAAAAAAATTTTTTGTTTTAATACTTCTGGGTGTTAGGAACGGATTAATTGTATTTACATTATTTCTTATGGGGAAAATTGATTCGCAAATCGTAGATTTCGTTAATAGTAGCAGCTCCAGGAACGGATTAACTACGAAAAACAAGGGACCACTGTATTACTAGAAGTAACTGCAGAAAATTATTCCTTTCGTATGCCTTCACTCAGAGCGTTATTCCTCCTAAAAATGGTGTGTTACATGAGAATGGGAGTGTTGCTCTTTATTTATTCTACTTTACCAACATGGAAACAATCTGTATACAATGTAAGGTATTTGTATTATGGTATAAGATTCACAGACATGGAAATGAAGGTGTATCAACCAAAACCAGAAGCATTCATCTGTTTGTTTACACACACTGCAGCTCTGTCCTCTCTCATTTACTTGTTCTCTCTCTCTCTCTTTCATTTATTTGTTTACTCACCTCTCACCCTACATTAAGACTACAAATATTTAAGGTAAGTAATGAGTGAACTGTATATGCATTTTGTCACTCTGGGACTCTTTAAATGTCGTAGTATATTAGGCGTGGGTGGGGTGGCCTGGCTTGGCTACCATACCTACCACATCTGATTTCTTATAATAAATACTACTCATCTCACCCTACATTAAGACTACAAATATTTTAAGGTAAGTAATAAGTGTACTATATGAGTATTTTACTTTTTTTATTGTTTTTTAATGCTTAGCTTTATTGATAACTTAATATATGTTAGTGTAAAATTGTTATCTAGCATTTATATACATTCATAAGTGGAAAAAAAGGGTGTTCCACTTTACAGAGATTTCCACTTTATGGCAGTAGCCTGGAACCTAACCTGCCATATAAGTGGGGCCCTACTGTATTTCCTCAATTATTGGTGGCCACATCCACCTCAAAGCCACTCAACTTGAGGTCAACATCACTTTCCTCTTAAAAGAGGAGTGTTAACATGACATGGCATCAGTGAATCCATGGTGTTTGCCACGCTGTATGCTCTAGCTGGCACTCAACTGAACTGGTGCTCTCAGAAGGTACCTTTTTTAATACTGCACACACTGAGTGTTAACATCCATTCTATACTGACCAGGCATCTCAGGCCAATTGTGCCAAATTCAGAGGCAGGAAAAAAAAAACATTGATCTACATTGGGAGCACTAGTGGTAACAACGTAGATCTATGTTTGGACAGTTTAAGGGTTAAAGGCATATGAATGTGTAATTCCCATGTATCTCACAGCACTGAAGTGACAGAATGGAAGACATACTAACAAAATAGCTATGAGTTTGGTTGACTGGAACAATAGAACTGACCTAAAATAGGACTCAAGTAGGTGAAATTGCTGATGCATAAATATTATCGAAACAACTAACTTTGCAAAAGCGTAATTCCATAAGTTTTCCATCAAATTTCGTACTTTTGGTGTCATTACCTTTGGAAAGATTTTTTTTTTTTTAAATTCCTGAACCCAGAGAGCAAGTTTCAGATCAGGGGTCTGGACCCTGAAAGGGTTAAAACATGCCAATATGCTGTCAGAATTCTAATAATATTTTTTAACAAACCAGCCATCTCCCACTGAGGTAATTTTCTAAATACTGTACCGTATGTCTTAAAATGGGAAAACTACAGTACTTACTTCTACATTCATAATCCTAGGGTCAACAACATGAATTTTGTTGCGGTACCCACACCAAACTTTGTTGTGTACAACATGCATGCACCGGATGGAATGATGAGGTTTGCCTAGATCTAAGAGATGGTAATTGGTCAAGTCCCATTGTCCATCTCCCTGCCGGTGAAATATGGCCACAGTGCCATCTGCAAGAGCAGCCAAGACTCGACCTTTGATGTGTCTGTAAGAAAGAGTAATGATAAATATCTATATATTTACATCATATAACAATGTACAAATGGAAAGAAAACATGATTTACTATGGTAAACATTTAGGTGGAATGCATTAGCTTACCTGTGACCAGTTCTGAGGAGTTTTCTATCCTCATAGACTAACCTGGGGCTGGTTTTCCTTGTTGACTGCCTGTTCAACTAGGCTGTTGCTATTATTGGCTATTATTAATTTACAAGGAATGGTGCAGGTGGTAATATTTTATGGAATGGCAGAATTAAAAGCCTGGAGGTCACATGATAAAACTAGCCAGTAGATGTTTGGTTGATTTGGTTAATATTGTGAGATAAGATGATTTTTTAGCAGAGTCTTAAATTTATAAGTTGTCTGGGGATCCTTGACCTATTCCGATAGAGAGTTCCAGATCTTTGGGCCTTTTATGTGCATAGCGTTCTTGCATAGTGAGAGTTTTATTCGAGGGATGTTGAAAAGGGCCTTATGCCTTGTATTGTGACTGTGCATTCTGTTGTAACCATCGAGTAGTAGTTTTAGGGGAAGGTTTACAGTGGAGTTCAAAGTTCTGTATATGTAGTAGGCACAATAATAAGAGTGTATGTCTTGTATATTTAGCAAGTTGAGTCTTTTGAAAAGTGGTGGGGTGTGCTGTCTAGCACAGGAGCTGGTTATCACCCGCACAGCAGCTTTTTGTTGGCTGTGGTTGAGCCCCAGGCACAGATACCATAGGTGAGGTAAGGATATATTAGAGAGTGGTACAAGGTAAGGAGAGTCATTTGTGGTACATAGTAGCATATCTTGGAAAGGATTCCTACTGATTTGGAAATTTTCTTAGCTATGTGATGGGTATGGGACTGAAATTTAAGATTACAGTCAAGGGGAAGACCTAGAAATTTGCCCTCCGTGTGTCTTGATATAGGGGAACCATTTAACAGTATGTTGAGTTGAATATTTGAGGCTCTGTTGCCAAACAGCATGAAGTAAGTTTTTTCTATGTTAAGTGTGAGTTTGTTGGTCATCATCCAAGCATATATCTTTAGCAGTTCATTGTTTAAATAACAAAAAAGGCACAATACTGTAACTGGAACGATACACAAATAACCCGCAAGGCAGGAATAACATCTTGTAGGAGTGAGGAAGAGCCAGTTGTGAGTGTGGGGGAAGTTCGTGAGGCAGTAGGCAAAATGAAAGGGGGTAAGGCAGCCGGGATTGATGGGATAAAGATAGAAATGTTAAAAGCAGGTGGGGATATAGTTTTGGAGTGGTTGGTGCAATTATTTAATAAATGTATGGAAGAGGGTAAGGTACCTAGGGATTGGCAGAGAGCATGCATAGTTCCTTTGTATAAAGGCAAAGGGGATAAAAGAGAGTGCAAAAATTATAGGGGGATAAGTCTGTTGAGTGTACTGGTAAAAGTGTATGGTAGAGTTATAATTGAAAGAATTAAGAGTAAGACGGAGAATAGGATAGCAGATGAACAAGGAGGCTTTAGGAAAGGTAGGGGTGTGTGGACCAGGTGTTTACAGTGAAACATATAAGTGAACAGTATTTAGATAAGGCTAAAGAGGTCTTTGTGGCATTTATGGATTTGGAAAAGGCATATGACAGGGTGGATAGGGGGGCAATGTGGCAGATGTTGCAAGTGTATGGTGTAGGAGGTAGGTTACTGAAAGCAGTGAAGAGTTTTTACGAGGATAGTGAGGCTCCAAGTTAGAGTATGTAGGAAAGAAGGAAATTTTTTCCCAGTAAAGGTAGGCCTTAGACAAGGATGTGTGATGTCACCGTGGTTGTTTAATATATTTATAGATGGGGTTGTAAGAGAAGTAAATGCGAGGGTCTTGGCAAGAGGCGTGGAGTTAAAAGACAAAGAATCACACACAAAGTGGGAGTTGTCACAGCTGCTCTTTGCTGATGACACTGTGCTCTTGGGAGATTCTGAAGAGAAGTTGCAGAGATTGGTGGATGAATTTGGTAGGGTGTGCAAAAGAAGAAAATTAAAGGTGAATACAGGAAAGAGTAAGGTTATGAGGATAACAAAAAGATTAGGTTGATGAAAGATGTGAATATCAGATTGGAGGGAGAGAGTATGGAGGAGGTGAATGTATTCAGATATTTTGGGAGTGGCCGTGTCAGCGGATGGGTCTATGAAAGATGAGGTGAATCATAGAATTGATGAGGGAAAAAGAGTGAGTGGTGCACTTAGGAGTCTGTGGAGACAAAGAACTTTGTCCTTGGAGGCAAAGAGGGGAATGTATGAGAGTATAGTTTTACCAACGCTCTTATATGGGTGTGAAGCGTGGGTGATGAATGTTGCAGCGAGGAGAAGGCTGGAGGCAGTGGAGATGTCATGTCTGAGGGCAATGTGTGGTGTGAATATAATGCAGAGAATTCGTAGTTTGGAAGTTAGGAGGAGGTGCGGGATTACCAAAACTGTTGTCCAGAGGGCTGAGGAAGGGTTGTTGAGGTGGTTCGGACATGTAGAGAGAATGGAGCGAAACAGAATGACTTCAAGAGTGTATCAGTCTGTAGTGGAAGGAAGGCGGGGTAGGGGTCGGCCTAGGAAGGGTTGGAGGGAGGGGGTTAAAGGAGGTTTTGTGTGCGAGGGGCTTGGACTTCCAGCAGGCATGCGTGAGCGTGTTTGATAGGAGTGAATGGAGACAAATGGTTTTTAATACTTGACGTGCTGTTGGAGTGTGAGCAAAGTAACATTTATGAAGGGATTCAGGGAAACCGGCAGGCCGGACTTGAGTCCTGGAGATGGGAAGTACAGTGCCTGCACTCTGAAGGAGGGGTGTTAATGTTGCAGTTTAAAAACTGTAGTGTAAAGCACCCTTCTGGCAAGACAGTGATGGAGTGAATGATGGTGAAAGTTTTTCTTTTTCGGGCCACCCTGCCTTGGTGGGAATCGGCCGGTGTGATAATAAAAAAAAATAAAAGACAGAAGCTTACAACGACGTTTCGGTCCGACTTGGACCACTGACAAAGTCACACTGTTTACAGTGTGACTTTTTTCAAGCACAGCTGGGTCTGAATGGGAGTAGACATATGTAGTGTCATCTGCGAAGAGAACTGGTGTAAGGAGTTGGGATGCATTGGGGAGATCACTGATGTAGATGAGAAAGAGGAGTGGGCCTAGGACACTACCCTGGGGTACTCCTACAGCTACAGGTTGGATAGCAGAGTTGACTCTATTTGCATATACATACTGGTGTCTGTCATTAAGATAGGATTTTAGGTAGTCAAGAGAATGTCCTCTTATGCCATAATGATTCAGTCTGAGGTGCAAGAGATTGTGGTCAACTGTCAAACGCTTTTCTTAGGTCGACAAAGAGCCCCAGGGGATATTCATTCTTATTGAGAGCTGTGTATATTAGGTCAAGCATTTGTATATTAGCATCATTCGTGCTTTTTTTTAGTCTAAGTGCAAACTGGCATGGGTTAAGTATGTTGTTGGATGTAAGGTAGGAGTAAAGTCACTTGTGTATTATTTTTTCAAATATCTTGGATAGTAAGGGCAAGTTTGATATGGGTCTGTAATTGTTCAAATCAGTTGGATCTCCACCTTTGTGGCTCAGGCTGACCCTTGCTGTCTTGAGCATGGATGGGAAGGTTGAGGAAGCTATAGATTTGTTAAACATTGTTGCAATAATGGGCGACAGTTCTGGTGCAGCTTTTTTATATATGAATGGTGGCAAGTTATCTAGATCACCTGATTTGTTTTTTAATGATTTAATGATGAGTGAGACTTCAGTGGGATTAGTTGGAGCTAGAAACAGAGTATTTGGATAGTTGCCAGTGAGGTACTCGCTCGAATGGGTATTTGAGCTAGGAATTTGGCTCGCTAGCTTTGATCCTACGGTAGAGAAGAAGACATTAAATTTGTTGGCCGTGTCTATAGGTTGCTTGTGAGGTTCATCTGGTTTAGTTAAGTCTATCTCTCTATTTCCAGTCGGTATTCTTGAGCCAAAAATTTTGGAGAGGGTTTGCCAGGTACTTTTTATGTCATCTTTCATTTCACTAAATCTATTTTCATAATACATTTGCTTTGATTTATGTATTAGTTTTATTAGTATTGATGTGTATCTTTTAGTAAATTCTTTAGTAATTAAGCCTAATCTGAACTGCTTTTCAATTTGGTGTTTTTTATTAATAGTTTTGAGGATACTTCTAGTTAGCCATGGGCTGTTTAGCCTCTTTTCTGTGATCTGTTTCGTTTTGACTGGGCAATGTTTGTTGTAGAGGTTTAGGGTTTTATGTAAAAAAAATTTGATATCTTTATCGATATTATTACTGTCATTTAGCTCTCTCTGCCAATCAATGGCACCTAGAGCTAGTTTTAGGTTGTTTATCGATGTCTCGTCATGCAGGTGAAATGAGATCTTTCTTGTTTCTTGAGGCACTTACTTTCTTAGGATCCATGGTTAGAAAAAAGAAATTTGGTAAAATAACTGCACAAAAAGCACAAAACGCTGGGATGCTGGGTGGATGTTGTGGCGTTCGATGTGTCAATTAGTGGCAATGTATCTGAAGCTCGCTCATAACTCAAAGCAAAAAATCAACCAAGCATAGGCTCGTAACTTTGAAAACTCATAAGTTGGGACACTCGTAAGTCAAGGTACCACTGTATGACTTGGAGGGTGTATAAATCTGTAGTAGAAGGAAGGCAGGGTAGGGGTCATCCTAGGAAAGGTTGAAGAGATGGAGTAAAGGAGGTTTTGTGTGTGAGGGGCTGGACATCCAGCAAATGTGTGTGAACATGTTAGATAGGAGTGAGTGGAGGCAAAGAGATTTTGGGATTTGATGAAAAGTTAGAGTGTAAGCAAAGGAACATCTGTGAAGGGATTCTGGGAAACCAGTAAACTGGATTTGAGTCCTGGAAGTGGGAAGTACAATACTTACACTCTGAAAGAGGGGTGGAGACATTTGCAGTTCAGAGGGGCAGCTAAACTGTAGTATTGGTGTGCCTCTGGAAAAACTGTGATAGAGTGAATTGTGGTGAAAGTGTGCCTTCTTTTTTGGGTCACCCTACCTCTGTGAGAGAGGGCTGGTGTGTTAAAAGAAAAATTGAGATAATACTTACACAATGGACAACACAGAGTCCTTGAGCTTGATCGAGTGTAGACAGCGCTTCCAGTGGCGGACTGCTGAATGAACATATATTGAGCCACTTTGTGAGCCAAGCCACATGGTTGACAGGACAGATGACATCTTTTCTACTTCCTCAGTTACTACACTTGAATCTGTTAAAAAAATTTTCAGAAATTTACAAATAAATGAATACCATAATAATACAGATTTTTTTTTTATGAAGTACAGTAGAGCCCCGCTTTACGGTATTTCGCCTTACGGTGTTCCGCTAATACAGCGATTTCAAATTATGACCAAAACTTTCTATACAGCGAGCGGTCTTTCAAATGAAGAGCGAGCCACCCAGTTTGTTTACATGTGAGCACATCTTTCTATTTTTTTTTTTTATTATCACACTGGCTGATTCCCACCAAGGCAGGGTGGCCCGAAAAAGAAAAACTTTCACCATCATTCACTCCATCACTGTCTTGCCAGAAGGGTGCTTTACACTACAGTTTTTAAACTGCAACATTAACACCCCTCCTTCAGAGTGCAGGCACTGTACTTCCCATCTCCAGGACTCAAGTCCGGCCTGCCGGTTTCCCTGAACCCCTTCATAAATGTTACTTTGCTCACACTCCAACAGCACGTCAAGTATTAAAAACCATTTGTCTCCATTCACTCCTATCAAACACGCTCACGCATGCCTGCTGGAAGTCCAAGCCCCTCGCACACAAAACCTCCTTTACCCCCTCTCTCCAACCTTTCCTAGGCCGACCCCTATCCCGCCTTCCTTCCACTACAGACTGATACACTCTTGAAGTCATTCTGTTTCGCTCCATTCTCTCTACATGTCCGAACCACCTCAACAACCCTTCCTCAGCCCTCTGGACAACAGTTTTGGTAATCCCGCACCTCCTCCTAACTTCCAAACTACGAATTCTCTGCATTATATTCACACCACACATTGCCCTCAGACATGACATCTCCACTGCCTCCAGCCTTCTCCTCGCTGCAACATTCATCACCCATGCTTCACACCCATATAAGAGCGTTGGTAAAACTATACTCTCATACATTCCCCTCTTTGCCTCCAAGGACTAAGTTCTTTGTCTCCACAGACTCCTAAGTGCACCACTCACTCTTTTCCCCTCATCAATTCTATGATTCACCTCATCTTTCATAGACCCATCCGCTGACACGTCAACTCCCAAATATCTGAATACATTCACCTCCTCCATACTCTCTCCCTCCAATCTGATATTCAATCTTTCATCACCTAATCTTTTTGTTATCCTCATAACCTTACTCTTTCCTGTATTCACCTTTAATTTTCTTCTTTTGCACACCCTACCAAATTCATCCACCAATCTCTGCAACTTCTCTTCAGAATCTCCCAAGAGCACAGTGTCATCGGCAAAGAGCAACTGTGACAACTCCCACTTTGTGTGTGATTCTTTATCTTTTAACTCCACGCCTCTTGCCAAGACCCTCGCATTTACTTCTCTTACAACCCCATCTATAAATATATTAAATAATCACTCTTGGGCACATTAAATGTCTTATTTAATGTTAATATAGACATTTTCATTAATCTATCTATGATATTTTCTTCAAAATTATATAAGAAACACATTACATAATATATAAACATTTTATGTTATATACTATGGAGGTGTGGTAGCCGGGGGGAGGGAAAACATTACATCACTCCCCTTAATGCATAACGCTTCTGTTTACAATTCTCGGCATGAATTATTCATTACTTCTCCCTTTGTTTATGATGGCATCTAAAGGTAGTTGATAGAAACGATTAAACTCAATGAACATGGTGAGTCATGTTGATGGCAGTGAGGGGACTTGAGCTAGAGTTCGTCACGGCCACACTAGCTGGAGATTCGTCCGTAAAAACTTGCATTTGTGGTCACAGTGGTGCCTGTGCTAACCTTCCTATGGTGTAGAAATATACCTAGTTGGACAAATCTTATTGTGGCTAGCTGGTCTAGTGGCTAACGCGACGGTCTGGAGTTTTGAGACTCCCTGACCGCGGGTTCAATCCCGGCCAGGGTATGGTTTATGTCAATGTAATAATATGGCTCTGGGCCACATTAAATATCGTGTAGCTATGTAGGTAGGTTTAGGTATGTAGCCCAGGTGGACTACATACCTACATTATTATTATAACTGATAATTATACTTATGTGTAACTGTACCTAAGCAAAACACACTGTGCTGGCATGCAGGTACACATTAAAATCACTAAGAGTGTCTTATTAGTCTTGAAGATGCCATATTAATAATGATAATAATAATAACACAATAATAATCACTCTGAGGCGCATTAAATATCGTATAAAAGGTTAATATAGACATTTTGTTTAATCCATCTAAATACACCCCACAGTAGAATAAATTAATGTAAATATGAGATGTCCTGTTTAAGGGCAATGTGTGGTGTAAATATTATGCAGAAAATTCGGTGTGTGGAAATTAGGAGAAGGTGTGGAGTTAATAAAAGTATTAGTCAGAGGGCAGAAGAGGGGTTGTTGAGGTGGTTTGGTCATTTAGAGAGAATGGATCAAAGTAGAATGACATGGAAAGCATATAAATCTATAGGGGAAGGAAGGCGGGGTAGGGGTCGTCCTCGAAAGGGTTGGAGAGAGGGGGTAAAGGAGGTTTTGTGGGCAAGGGGCTTGGACTTCCAGCAAGCGTGCGTGAGCGTGTTAGATAGGAGTGAATGGAGACGAATGGTACTTGGGACCTGACGATCTGTTGGAGTGTGAGCAGGGTAATATTTAGTGAAGGGATTCAGGGAAACCGGTTATTTTCATATAGTCGGACTTGAGTCCTGGAAATGGGAAGTACAATGCCTGCACTTTAAAGGAGGGGTTTGGGATATTGGCAGTTTGGAGGGATATGTTGTGTATCTTTATATGTGTATGCTTCTAGACTGTTGTATTCTGAGCACCTCTGCAAAAACAGTGATAATGTGCGAGTGTGGTGAAAGTGTTGAATGATGATGAAAGTATTTTCTTTTTGGGGATTTTCTTTCTTTTTTGGGTCACCCTGCCTCGGTGGGAGACGGCCGACTTGTTAAAAAAAAAAAAAAAAATGAGATGTGGTAGCCAGGTGACTTGTAGGACTTGTGGTAGCCAGGCGACTTGTAGGACCTGTGGTAGCCAGGCGACTTGTAGTTCAACATCAGAGAAAATGTGTACACTATAATATTACTAGGGGTAGCTAGAAAATTATTCCTTTCTTATGCCTTCACTCAGAGTGTCATTTCTTCTAAAAATGGTGTTACATGAGAATGGGAGTGTTTCTCTCTATTTATTCTACTGTATCAACATGGAGACAACTTGTACACAATGTAAAGTGACGAAAACCAGACGCATTCGTCTGGTTTGTTTATATTACCTGTAGGTGGGGTGGAGGGGTGAGGGCTGCCCTTCCTGGCTACCCATACTTCCCAACCTGACTTCCTACAAATAAAACTCACCTCTCACCCTACATTAAGACTACAAATATTTTAAGGTAATTAATGAGTGCACTGTATATGCATTTTATTGCTCTAGGGAGCTTAATGTCATAGTAGGTGGGAGTGGCCAGGCAGGATGCCATACCTCCCACATGACTTTCTACAAATAAATACTTTTCACCTCTCGCCCTACATTAAGACCATTAAGACTACAAATATTTTAAGGTAAGTAATGAGTGTAATGTATATGCATTTTATCACTCTAGGGAGCTTTAAGCATCGTAGTATAGTATGTGTGGGCAGGGGCATCATAAGGGGGAGGGGCGCCCTGGGTGACACCATTTAGGAGGTGACACCATAGAGCCTCTAAAGAAGGTAACACTAATGACCAAAACCATGCTGCAGCAACTAAAGAGAAAAATCCTTCGTTGCTATATAGTCTATTATAGGATTACAGAGTATAAATAGGCCTATATAGGGAAAAATCATTGATTTTGATGATGTGATAGATGATTTTGCAGGACTGAAGGCAAGGAAATGAAATATCAGATTCTTTGAGATGTTACCTGTACTCAAGGTTAAATTGAACTAGTTTTTTCTTTTTCAAGTTTTTGTTTTTCATTGTTGAAGATGAATAAATGTAGTATCTGTTGCCTATACTCAAAGTGGTATTTGAGTTTACGTTCCCTCAATATTACTATGATTATTTATTTTATCATTAATAAAGTTCTGTTTATGGCCTTTAAACATTCTCATTGCTAAACATTAGTCACTGGGCATGCAGCAGTGATGTAACTGGAGTTTACTACCCCTATCCCCCTGCCCTTGAATTTCATGGGGGTGACACCAAAGATGCTACCCCGGGTGACACCAACCCTAGCGACGCCTGTGTGTGTGGGAGGGGTGGCCAGGAGTGCTACCACACCTGACTTCCTACAGTAAATACTACTCATCGTTTGCCCTACATTAAGACTACAAATATTTTGAGGTAAATAATGAGTGTACTATGTGTGTATTTTACTTTATAATACCTAGTTCTATTGCTAACTTCATATATATTAGTGTAAACTTGTTATCTGGCACTTATATACATTTATAAATGGAAAAAATGGAGTTCTGCTTTCTGGCAGTAGCCTGAAACCTAACCTGCCATATAAGTGGGGCCCTACTGTATTTCTAGATGCTCTCCTTAGGACAAAGATCTCACTGATATTAAATAAGATTCATATTTAAATTATAACCAAGTAGAGTAAATCATTTACTACAATGATGTAGTGTCATGCAGGCTCATAGGAAAGGTATCATTACCTTGAGAGGGTTCTACCTCTTCTACTCCATCTTTAACAATACCCTCCGGCTCCTTGAGTAGTCTTCGTGTAGGAACTTCTTCCTCTTCTGAATTTTCTATTACTTCGGCCCTGTCTGCATCTTGATCTGAAAGCATCACACCGACTCTCAAAGAATGTAAAATAGCAAACTAATTATTATTATTATAATCAGAAAGAAGCGCTAAACCACAAGGGTTAGCAAACTAATAAACTAATTTTAATCAACCAATTAATTTTAGTTCTGCTTTAAGTAATTTGCAGTCACTAATATTATGGTCATTTATTTTATTATCATCATTATTACTACTGGATATTCCTCAGCCTTGTAAAACTGTATTATAATGCTTTAGTTCCAGCAAAAATCCTATGGTATATAATACCGACAGGTTGGTAGGTAAGACACATAGGCAACAGTTAGGCAACTTTATTCCGAAACGTTTCGCCTACACAGTAGGCTTCTTCAGTCGAATACAGAAAGTAGGCAGGAACAGTAGTGATGTGAAGACGACGTAATCAGTCCATCACCCTTGAAGTCGTAAATTTGAGGCTGTCAGTCCCTCAGCCTGGAGAAGTTCAGTTCTGAGAGGGACGTGACCTCTCAGTGGCTGCTTTCTCACTACTACTACTACACTGCACCTCTCCTTCCGACAGTATTTAAGTCTCCGCACTGTCGCTTGATCTTCAGATAGTTCCTGTCTATGGAACTTAACTTCTCCAGGCTGAGGGACTGACAACCTCAAATTTACGACTTCAAGGGTGGAGGACTGATTACATCGTCTTCACATCACTACTGTTCCTGCCTACTTTCTGTATTCAACTGAAGAAGCCTACTGCGTAGGCGAAAAGTTTCGGAATAAAGTTGCCTAACTGTTGCCTATGTGTCTTACCTACCAAAAATCCTATGCATGATAGCTTTTTCTGTTAATACTATAAGCAACATGAAACTGTCCATAAAATGTTTTTACAAAGTAATTTTCCTTTAAAAAATTATGATTATTATTATTATTATTATTCTTAAACAATGAAGAAGTTCAAAGTTTCTTTTGGAAGTGAAAGCATTAAAAATTCTCGTACTTTGTGCTAAACTAACTCCTACAGTTTAACTTAAAATTTGAAATGTTGCATAATGTGTTATGAATGCACCAGACAGTTTCTAAGAGACACATCATAATATAGAAGTTAATAAGTAGTTTTTTTCAATATACAGTGGACCCCCGGTTAACAATATTTTTTCACTCCAGAAGTATGTTCAGGTGCCAGTACTGACCGAATTTGTTCCCATAAGGAATATTGTGAAGTAGATTAATCCATTTCAGACCCCCAAACATACACATACAAACGCACTTACATAAATACACTTACATAATTGGTCGCATTCGGAGGTGATTGTTATGCGGGGGTCCACTGTATTTAGTATGTAAGCTTCTTTCTGGATAATATCTTTTTGTAAACTAGTGTGGTGGTAGGAAATTCAAGATAAACTACCATACATTATTGGCCATAAGGCAAAATTTTTTATTAAACAAGTATATGTACTTGAGATGTACCATCACTACATTATTATTGTTAGGGTGAAGGGTTACAATGGCCTCTAGTCCAATTAAGAGTTAAGGGGATCAAAGGCCAATTAACATTTTTGGGTATGTGTATACACTCAGTGGCCACTTAATTAGGCATACCTTTTTAGTACTGGGTAGGGCTGACCCTTTGCCCCCAGAACAGTCTGAAGTCTTTGAGCCATGGATTTAACAGTGCTGAAAACATTCCCAAGAGATCCTGGTCCATGTTGACATGATAACACAACACAAATCTCCTGTTCCACTACAACCTACAGGTGCTCTACTGGATTGAGAAATAGTGTGTGTGGAAGCCACTGAAATACAATGAATTTATTGCAATGTTTGTGGAACCACTGGAGATGACATGTGCTGTGACATGGCAAGTTATCTTGCTGGAAGCGCCATTGGAAGATGGATTGACTGTGGTCATAAAGGGGTGTACGTGGTTAGCAACAATACTCGGGTAGACTGTAGCATTTAAGCTATGCTCAGCTGGTATTATGGGGCCTAATGTGTGCCAGGGAAACATTCGCCACACTATTACACAACCAACATCAGCCTGAACTGTTGACACAAGGCAGGTTGAATCCATGGCGTCATGTTGTTTACGCCAAATTCTGATGCAACCATCTGCATGTCACAGCAGAAACTGCAGTTTGTCAGACCAGGCAACATTTTTTCCTAATCTTCAACTATCTAGTTTTGGTGACCTTGTGCCCACTGTATTCTCAATTTCGTGTTCTTAGCTGACAGAAGTGGAACCCAGTGTGGTCTGCTGGTAGTCCATTCACTTCAAGGTTCAATACGTTGTGCATTCAGATATGCTCTTCTGCATACCACTATTGTAACACATGATTATTTGAGTTGCTGTTGCCTCCTTTTATCAGCTTGAACCAGTCTGGCTATTCTCCTCTGACCTCTGTCATTAACAATGTATTTTTGCTCACTGAATTGCTGCTCACTAGATGTTGTGTGTTTTTTACACCATCTTCTGTAAACTCTCAAGTTATGCATGAAAATCCCAGATCAGCAGTCTGAGATGCTTAAACCACCCTGTCTGGTGTCAACAATCATTTAACGGTCAAAGACACTTAGATCACATTTCCTCCCCATCCTGATGTTTGGTATGAACAAAAACTGAACCTTTCGCCAATGTCTGCAAAACTGGCTGATTAGATACTTGCATTATTAAGCAGGTGTACCTAATAAAGTGGCCACTGAGTGTAAAATGTGACTACAATAATATGAATTTAGAGTATGAAATTATTAATTAGTCTAAAAATAATTGTAGTATGTCTTTTATTCCTAACAAAACAATTCTGGTTAAAAAAATGCCAAGGGAAGCAAACTGCCCAGCCGCACAAATGCATTTATAACAAAATATAAGTATAACAACCAACTGATGCATGAGATATATACACATATACATATATTACAGTAGGTACAATACTGGAGGGTTCTATTAATGCTGTAAATTAGGAAGCTAATTTGCCAGTTTGAAAATTTGACATAGTCATTGGTGGAGTATCTCACATACAGGAGACACAGTGAGAACTTGCAACTCCCAGGGTGTTGAATTTTTTTTTTTTTTTTAACATGTTGGCCATCTCCCACCAAAGCAGGGTGACCCAAAAGAAAGAAAAACCCAAAAAAGAAAGAAAAGACTTTCATTATCAGGCAGCACTTTCACAATCACTCATACACAATCACTGTCTTTGCAGAGGCACCCAGATACGACAGTTTAGATAGTCACTCCAAACTGCCAATATCCCAAACTCCTCCTTCAAAATGCAGGCATTGTACTTCCCATTTCCAGGATTCAAGTCCGGCTAACTGGTTTCCCTGAATCTCTTCACAATATATTACCCTGATCACTCCTAACTAACACACTCACACATGCTTGTTGGAAATCCAAGCCCCTCGCCCACAAAACCTCCTTTACCCCCTCCCTCCATCCTTTTCGAGGACTACCCCTACCCTACCTTCCTTCCCCCACAGATTTATATGTTCTCCAAGTCATTCTACTTTGTTCCATTCTCTCTAAATGACCAAACCACCTCAACAACCCCTCTTCAACCCTCTGACTAATACTTTTAGTAACTCCACACCTCCTAGTTTCCACACTACAAATACTCTGCATAGTATTTACATCACACACTGCCCCTAGATGGGACATCTTCACTGCCTCCAGCCACCTCCTCACTGAAGCATTTACAACTCAAGCTTCACCTATAAAAGTGTGTTGGTACCACTATACTCTCATACGTTCCCTTCTTTGCCTCCACAGATAACGTTCTGTCTCCACAGATACCTTAATGCACCACTCACCTTTTTTCCTTCATCAATTCCATTAACCTCTTCCTTCATAAACCCATTTGCTGACAAATCATCTCCCAAATATCTGAAAACATTCACTTCTTCCATACTCCCGCCCTCCAATGTGATATCCAATTTTTCTTTTATCTAATCGTTTGATACCCTCATCACCTTACTCTTATCTATAGTATTCACTTTCAACTTTCTACCTTTACATACCCTCCCAAACTCATCCACTAACCTTTGTAACTTTTCTTTAGAATCTCCCAAAAGCAGAGTATCATTGGCAAAAAGTAATTGTGTTAACTCCCATTTTATATCTGATTCCCCATAATTTAATCCCACCCCTCTCCTCAACACCCTAGCATTTACTTCTTTTACAACCCCATCTATAAATATATTAAACAACCATGGTGACATTACACATCCCTGCCTAAGATCAACTTTTACCGGGAAGCAATCTCCCTCTCTCCTACACACCCTAACCTGAGCCTCACTATCCTCATAAAAACTCTTTACAGCATTTAGTAACTTACCACCTATTTCATACACTTGCAACATCTGCAACATTGCTCCCCTATCCACTCAATCATGTGCCTTTTCTAAATCCATAAATGCAATGAAAACTTTCCTACCTTCATCTAAATACTGTTAACTTAGGCGCTTCAACATGCAAGATATCATGTACGTCTTGCTACTTCTACTTGCACTTAAGTCACACTACACTTGGATGTACAATCTTATATACACACATCCCTCTGGGTTTTCTTCTATTTTATTACTAGTTCTTGTTCTCGTTTATTTCCTCTTATCTCCATGGGGAAGTGGAACAGAATTCTTCCTCTGTAAGCCATGCGTGTTGCAAGAGTCGACTAAACTGCCAGGAGTGAGGGACTAGCAACCCCTTCTCCTGTATACATTACTAAAGTTAAAAAGAGAAACTTTTGTTTTTCTTTTTGGGCCACCCTGCTTCGGTGGGAAACGACCTTTTTGTTGAAAGAAGATATATGCTTCAATGTTAACACTTGATATACACATCCCCTACCCACTCTAAAGCCTCCTTGCTCATCTGCAATCCTGCTCTCTGTCTTACCTCTAATTCTTTCAATAATAACTCTACTGTACACTCTACCTGGTATACTCAGTAAATACATTCCCCTATAACATTTACAATCTCTTTCGTCCCCTTCCCTTTATATGAAGGAACTATACATGCTCTCTGCTAATCCCT